TGATCATTTTCCTCAATGAATAAATGAACAAGTATAATGTTTTTGACTCATTTGTTTAATTGCATTCTCTTTATCTAGCTTTAGGACTTGTGTGGAAAACAGATCACGTTTTAGGTCATATTTATGCAGAAATATTGAAAATTCAGAAGGGTTCACAAACTTTTAAGCACCACTGTACATTAGCAGCTGAAAGAAATAGGGAAGGTGCTAAGATGTGGAGCTTGACTGTGATGAAGAGAGAGAAGGACAACACACATCAGCCTTGCCCTATTCACTCCATCTGAAATCCAGAAAAACCAAGGCATTCCAGGCTTCAGTTCTGCTCAACTATGGTTAGCTTGAAAGAATTTGGCAGGAATTTGCAAAGCAAACCTTTTGTTCTAGGTTAGAAAGAAAACATTTTCCATGCTTTGTGTATACCCCTAGATGAGGATAATGCCTTCCAATGATAAATTGCAGAACTTTCAAAGAGGCATGAAATCACAGTGATGGGAGACTTTAATTACTGAAACATCTTTTGGGAGACTAACTCTGCTAAGATGGCCCTTCTAGGAAATTCCTAACTTCTCTTGTGGCAACTGTGTCCTTCAGGTGGTGGAGAAAGGCACAAAAGAATCAGGTATCTTTAATATTAATCAGTAGGGAAGATTTCAGTACCAAGAACATTAAGGTAAACTACCCATGTAATTTTGAAATTCTTGAATTAAGAGAAACTAAAACTGTGTGTAATCAAATGCTTATCTTGGACTTCAGAAAAGCAGATTTTAATGAACTCAGCAGTGATAAGTATGATTCCAAGACAGGAGAAGCTAGCAAGAAAAGGAGCTCAAAACTGGTATGAATTCCTAAAGGAGATACTAAAACCACAATTGCAAACAATTCCAATGAGGGGAAAAAAGGAAGACAGTAAAATAAGCCAAAAACTTAATAAAGATCTGAATACAGAAAAAAGACACACAAAAAAGGGAAACAGGACCAGGTTACAGACAAAGAATACAAACAAGTAGCCCTGAACTGTAAGGCTGGTGTCAGGAAAGCTACGCTCAGAAGACCTCAGGTTAGTAAAGAATGCAAGAGTAATAGAAAAGGTTTCTTTTGCTATGTTCAAAAGAAAGAAAAATCATCAAGACACCAGCTCTTTAATGAAAATAGTAAAATACTAACAGCTACGAAAGAAAAGGCAGAGCTGCTGAACTCCTATTTTGAGCTTGGTCCTTTCCAACAAAAAAATACTTTACCACACAAAGAAATTGTGAAGAGCAGGATTGAAGCTGGAGACTGATAAAAATATGGAAGGGAAATACCTCTTTATTTTTAATAAGTTTCAGTCTCCAGGACCAGATGAACTGCATTACTAGAGTACTGAAGTAACTTGCTGATGTTCTGGCCAAACTTGTTTGTAATATCTTTGAGAAATTCTGGAGAAAGGCAAAGTAACAAATGTCTGAAGAACAAATTCTTCTCCTCAAAGAGGACAACTACAGAACAGTCTGTCTGACATCATACCATGGAAGATTCTAGAGCACATCATGAGAAGATCAATGGAAGCACCTTGAAAAGAAAGCACTAGCAACAAAATGTCACCATCAACTTGTCAATTAGTAAACCTTGAAAGTCTAATTTTACCTCATTTTTTGATCAATTAACTTCTTTAATAGAGTACGGAAATGCTTTAGGAATAATATGTATTTCCACAAAGCATTTGGCATCTGATTAGGAAGCTAGTTAAGTATGGATTGGATGGAAAGACAATTAAGTGGATACACAGCTGACTTGAAAATTATAGTCAAAAAGTGCTCATCAATGGTTCCTCATCAAATGGGAGAGAGATATGCCATACAAATCAATTATAGGTCTATCACTGTTCAACATTTTTGGATGAAGAAATGGAGAGAATGCTTATCAAATTTGCAGATGACACAAAATTGGATTGCAGGTAACACCCTAGAACACAGAAATGAAATTCAAAACAATCTTGAAAGGTTAGATAAATGGGATGAAAATAATCAAATGAAGTTTAATAGAGTTAAGTGCAAAGTTCTTCACTTAGGATACAAAAATCAAATACAGAGGTACAGGACAGCAGATACGTGGCTTGGTAGTAATAATTAAGAAAATGATTTTGAAATATTTTACCGCAAACAGAATATAAATCAGCAGTGAGATGTAGCTGAAGAAGAAAAAAAAAGGCAAACAGAATTTTAGTCCACATTAACAGACTAAATCATGGGAAGTAATCTTTCTACTTTATTCTATTATGGTCAGATCCCACCTTAAGTATTGTATCCAATTTTGGACACCACATTTTAAGAAGGATACAGAGAAATTGCAACAGGTTCTGAAAAGGCCAGATTAATATATAAATATTTTAAATAAATTAACACTGCACTAAGCCATATGTCTTAAGCCAAATCATTTACAAAAACTTAATAAATCAAAATTAGAGAGGTTCATGTATTATGCTAAATCTTAAACATGATGTACAAATTACAACACCCAGTTTTATACACTGCACTAAACAAAAACAAAAACACATAATGGTTTAGCACAATATGTGATTCCACAAATGTATTTGATCAAGAAAGCATACATAGAAAAGGACTCTGTGAAAGATAGGTACAAATAGTACCAATCCCCAGCTCAAGGAGGGGAGAGTTTGCATCTGGGTCCCCCAGAGAAGACCACTTTCATTAAAGGTAGCATTAATTGTTTTTTTCCAATTCAAAGAAATTTGGAAAGACATTAAGTAAAATGGTTCAAATTCTGCCCATCTGTCAGCACAGTAACTCTGCAAAAACTGAACAGAGCAGGCCCAGATTTGCTGTGGGGAAAGAAGCTGGCAAAAGAAAGATGGAATCTATAAATGGGTGGATCCGGCTGGAGGCTATGGTGGTAGCTATTTCAAAAAAAAATGTCCTCCACCTCTTTGAGTGAAACAGTCGGGAAGTGGATTGGAATATTACTGAGTACTCCGTTCTAAGTGTCATTCTTTCCTGATCATGAAATCCAGGGCAGAGCATACAGAGTCCACCTTATGTTTTCAAGTGCGCAAACTAACATATACAGATATAACACAAGGGGAGAGCTGACACACAAAAATACATTATCAACAGGCAATTACCAAGAACACAATACAGATACCTCCTATGACAACTGTTAGCAAAGGGTTTGAAAGAATTCCAGAAGCCATGCTTGTGGCTTGCACTGAATCAAGATAAGAACTAGTGCTAAGTATTCTAATCTTTCTTTTCCTTCCCTTGTTGCATCTTTTTAAGACTGTAATTCATAGAGCAAGGATTGTCTTGATTCCACCATACTCTAAGCTGCTCTGGGAGCCTTCTGTCTAAAAGAGTACAGTCACTTCAAATAAATGAAAAAATAATAAGGTGGGGAAAGCATGCATTGGATTAGAAACAATTAAAGGACAATATTTTCAAATTTATAAAAATTACCACTTTAATGACATGCACAGCATTGTCTTCTACTGGAACATCAAGACAAGGAGAAGCTGCAAGGTAAAATTAAGACAGAGAAAATTATGGAAGACTTGAGCCACTTCATCCTGAATTGAATTTTCAACTTAACAACAGGAGATACAATGTAGTTACGTTCATGAACACATTATCTTAAAAACTGAAAAAGAAGCATTTTTCTTGAACAAGAATTTGGCTATAATTGATTGAAATAATTTTTTCATTGTTTTCTTCATGAGGGGTGATAAATCTCTACCATTAATATTATGCCTGTTTTTACAAGATTCAAAGAAGTATGCCAGGAGGTCACCAGTTTGACCTCAAGTTATCCAGTGAATGCACCAGAACAGACTTGGAACCCCAGGCTTCCTCATATACATAATTTAGGGCAGCTTTTCCTAAGCTGGATGTGATTAGATACATATATTTCAGCTCTCAAAAATTTCAACCAAAGGCCATGCTGGCTGGGAATTCTGGGAGTTGAATACCTCAGATCAGGAAGATCTTTGAGGAACTCTGATTCAGAATCCAGAACTCCCATATATTAAGCCTTCTGAGCAGAAGCAAGTAGTTTCTCACCCCCAAAGTTGGCTATATCCATATTTTCCTCTCCTTATCTTACACCAATAGGAAATAGCTGGCTTCCAATAGGACTCTGAAATTCACCCCATCCTAATTAGTCCTTTTGCATAACTTTTGCCCCATGCTTCATGAAAACATGGGCAATAATGTCAAATGAAGAAGCACTAATATCCCTCCAACATGATTCACAGAAGGCCCATTCCAAGTGCATCTTCTCCAAGTATCACTTCAATCTCACCTCTTAGGACTCAACTATTACTAATTCCATTGAAGGCAAAAGGAGAAGAGGACGGCAGAGGATGAGATGGTTAGATAGCATCACTGAAGCAATGAGCATGAAACTGAGCAAACTCAGGGAGGCAGTGAAGGACAGGAAGGCCTGGCGCAATATGGTTCATGGGGTCACGAAGAGTCGGACACGACTTAATGACTAAACAACAACAACAAAAATTACTAATTCCAAGCATTTTATGATTGTCTTTCTACACATTTTCCAACCTACCTACTGCACACAACCTCATACTGTATGACAATTTTTCAAGTGCTGGCCAAAGTAATTTAGTAAACTTTGAATAAAGAATATATTAATAAAGCAGTTGAAATCCAAATCAGATTACAAAATCAGTGAAAGGGGAAGAAATTGGCTATCTTTGTTCTACTATGTTATTCCCTCATTTTGACCATATTCATTGGAAATGATGGTAGGTGTACTGCAGGACATGAGGAGGGCATCTAATGAATAACCTCTGACTGTTCACTTCAAGTCCTTTAATGCTTAATCTTTTGTTTGTTCCTCTCCCTCATTTTATGCATACAGTACTCTCTATATAAATAAACCCAAGTTTTACTTGACATGTGCAACAACTTTAATAAAAATAAACACTATACATCTGTTTCATACAGAGTTGGACATTTTTTCCAGCTAACCAAGTACTATTTATTGAAAGTGGTCTTGCTCAGCTGATAAGAAGAGAAAAAAAATCTAAGACCCTCTGCCTGCACAGCATGAGCTCTGCCATTAAGCTATGGCTTTTCCCCACAGCTTTTATTAGTTTCAACATGCAAAAGTAACATCAGAGCACACTTCTGGAGAATATTGCTTTTTTCTCCCCACACAATGATACCATGGCACCCAGAAGTCCGACAAAGTAACTTGCTGGTTTTGCTTGCCAGCTGGAACCTACAAATTTCCATGTACAACAGTTTATTTGTGTGGCAATCATCTCCTGGAATAATGGAGAAAGTGCCTGCAGTACATCTTATGGAGTCAGTTTTGCAGGCAAAGTTTACACAGAGGGAAGAGGAAAGCAGTGCCTATTGGCAATTAAATAGAATTCCCAACTCCTGTCCACAGCTGATCTCATTGCCACTGCTGGAGCTCTGGCAACAAATACTCATTTTGCAAATATGGATGGCCTCAAGAAAGTGGAGGTTTGTGTGTGAGCATGCTGCGGTTATAAAAATTTGAAGAGTAATAATTTCCTATGAGCTTTACTTATATGCTAACATCACAATATCCGCAATCTGTAGACATTCCAGGATCAGGAAGTACAAATTGTGGTTACTTTTTTTTTCAAAATTCTTTGCTACTTTTGCAAAGTAACTGCTATGAAGATGGGATTTACTTTCATGTTTTCCTTCACCTTTTGCATCAGCCTTCACTGATCAGGTGCCCTCCAGATGTGTTATGGCAACTTACAGAATTCCCATCTGATAAGCCAAGACATATAAACCAAATGAATCTGAAAAGCCTCTGGTCAAGGAGGTTTGTTTATACATTTCTCCTTTCGCAATCTCCCACTTCTTCTACTTAAACCAGTCATGAAGCTAAATCGGCTTGAAACTGATTAGTATCCAAGCTAGAGACCAAAGGAAACATCATTTTAACAACTTTCAGCTTTGTGAAAGTAAAAGTAAAAAGTAAAAGTGAAGAGTATTTATATAATGTAAAATTATTTTAACCAAGGAAGGTAAAACATTCGCTGGCTTCTGCCTGGGTACCAATCCTAGTAAACTATCTAGGACTATGCATTATCTTAGCCTCTAATGTTTGCAGATAGGTATAAAGTTCTTTAATCTTGTCTGATTAACAGCTGGTATACTCCTGGTTTATACTCTTCTTCAGTCCTTAGTGCAACTGAGAGAAATAACCATAAATTGAAAACTAGGAAATCAAACTTAGTACCTGGACCTATTCACTATGAATTCTTCACAATAGCCATCTATGAAAAGCAGGGTGTGTGGGGCGTGAGGACAAAGTAAAACCAACAGAACATAATCAGTGGATTCTTTTTCATCATGAAGTACAATTATACAAAGAAATATTCAGAAATTAGGTGTTTTCATTTATTACAATATTTCATTTGGAATAACAATTTGACTGAAACTGAATCAGAAAACTGCCAGACACATTTTCATATCCAAATCAAGAATCCAAAACAGAATGGAAAACCAATAAACTACTGTAACTTTTTTAAAAAACTTCAGCTATGTGAGGTTACAGATAAAAGTAGATCCTTCCATCAGGAAAAATGTCTAATGTCAGGGATTCAGATGCAAAGATTTTGGAACCAGGCCCTTTAAATCTTAATTATTATTTTTCAGGAAAGTAGATATAGTTTTTCCTCTTTTTTGTAAAGAATTACATCACTTTTGCAGCCAAAATATAAAGTTCAACATTCACTTCTGAAGTGTCCAGTGTCCAAGATGTCACTGTGGACTTCTAGGAAGCCAAAAAAAGAAAAAAGCCAAGGGAATATATCTATTTCCTAGTTACAATGAGGAATGGTTCTAAGTAGTAAGCTCTCCCACACAAATATTTCATACATGTGTTTTACCTAAGTAGATCAAGCCAAATCCTCCATGAGCAATCATAGGCCCCAGTCTCCATTCCCGTTTTTGGGTATCCTTCAGTATTATTCCTTCTTGAAGAGGATCTGGAAGGTTGTTTTTTCTATGCTGTTTTGGAAGCATTACACCTTAACAGAAGAAATAAAAGACAATTCTTAGGAAAAGCAGCACATGTTGTTTCCCCATAGCCTTCTAATATACACTTTAAAAAACCACTGCATTATTAGAATGTGAGTTATCAGACAGACATCAGCAGGCTTACCCTCTTTGTTACATCTTAAAGTGATTCAGCTGCTGATATAAGAAGTCCTTGCTGAATATACTTGAGAAGGGCACCTCTGGCCATAATACAATCACCTCGAGTCATGAGAAGTACAATGAGGTGGAAATGTTATAATAAATATATAATGGTGACAATTTGCCTTGTCAGTTTCAGGTGTTCAGAGTGAATCTGTCCAGATTGATGTCTTTAGCAGTAACAGCTCTGTCCTTGTAAATTGCAAGCATTTGGCTTGATTCTGCATTGTTTAATATGTTTGGTAAGGATGGATCTTCACTTGTTAGATACCTTTGGCAAGAATATAACTGCCCTCTTCAGCGTATATTTGGCTAGCTTTGTTTCTCATGTGTGAATTAAGAAAAGGCTCAGTCTTTTCTCCTTGAGACAAAAGTCTGAAAATCCCTCAAGATGATTGAAAGCGAGCATCGTGCTATATTGTCCATGATGTTTTGGGCAATATTATCAATTTGATATATTTTTCAGCTGTTTTTCTGTTTTTCTCTATGCACACAATTGCTTGCTCATACTTTAGGTGTAACTAAAGCATTTCAGATAAAAACCTTGAGTGATTTTAATACAATTCATGGTTGGTTCCAGTGCTCTAAACCCATGTTGATTAGGCTGCCAAAAGCAGCATATTGTCAGGACTTAAAGTAAGCTAACAGCAAAAAGCATATTTAATACCTTTATATGCTCTCTGCTTGGATTCTCTCCCTTATTAAGATACAGAAGGGAAAGAGGATCAGTTAACAAAAGGTGAGGGGAGACATCCTCCTTCTACTGTCATCAATCCTACACTAATGGGAGAGGTTCAGATTCCAAGATAGGTGTCAAAATCCCAAACCCAAGTTTTCAACCTTCTTTTTCATCCTGGAAAAAAAAAAAAAGCTGAATGTTTTGCTCTCTTCATTAGCTGTATCATAACATTAAAAAAAAAAAAATGGGGAGGGGGCTGTTTTTCCTGCCATGGAAATAAGTGGAGAAAGACTCACCTGCTTAATGTCTGTGTGCCAGCAACTGAAAAGAAAGATACTAGACCAAGTTCACAAAAAAGGTATTGGCAATTCAAACAGAAAGAAGAACACCAGCTCTGTGAAGTGTTTGTTCTTTCATTCAAACCAGGGCAAACAAAATTAATTAATATTAAATTTAATTTAAAAGGGGACAGCAAAAACAAGATTGATTAAAGGTACGTGTTGCAACATAGTGCTCTACAGCTTCTATAGTCCCAAACCAGTATGGTTATTGTTTCAGGAATTGTTAGCTTAAAGCACTGAGATCCACCTAACACTAAAGGCAATAGGCTTTTTATATAGAATTGTTATTCGTTATTTTAATATAACTATATTTTTACTGTTTTTATTGTTTTGGATTTTAACTGTCAGCCACCCAAAGTCACCCTCTGGGGGAGATGGGTGGCATATAAATTTAATAAATAAATAAATAAAGCTGTTACTCCAGGCCACCTGGACTAGCAATTACAGAAGTGAAAATTGTGAGAAGTTGTGAGTACTTATATCCACAGTGTACTTGAACAATGATTTATACTGTATGTGACATTTTGAAATTCAAAACAAAGTTATAGGTTATTTGTACATATAACAAATATTACTTTAATTTTCTTATTTCTCAAGGATTGATTCCCCAGAATCAACATGAAAGTCATGCTTTCTCTACAACAGTCCTCCATATGAGTGAACAGATTATATTTCTACAGAGCATCCAAAAGCGGGGCTGGGGCAGCGGGTTGTACCCTTCCTATCAACTCCAACAAAAGTGGGACTGACACACGCAGCAATCCGGTGGAAGCTTCCTTTACGGCCTATCTTTGTGGAGGACGCACATGTAGGACACGCTACTCCCAGCAATCTTAAAGCGAAGGAGAACTCATTCCCCAACTTTTCAACATCCAGAACAACAGTACCTACTACACGTAAGAAAGCACCAGAAACGCTGGAGGAACTCCTCGTGTTACAGATTTCTAAACAGGGCGGAGGAGTATTTGGGGAGGGGGGAGGTTAAAAACAATTCACTAAGCCTGAAAATAGTGAGTAGGCAGGACAGAATTAAACAGGTGACCAAGAAACCACAAATGGAACAGGGCTGGCTATGACCGGGCAGCCTCCCGTTGCTCTTCTTCCTTGACTCTCGTACTGCCGGCATCTATTACTATCGCGTCCGAAACTGCAAAAAGACAGGACAAGGGGGGAATGCGTGGAAAGGGCCGAAGCTCCTCCTTTCGGTTCGGGAACAGGAGAAGCTGAGGAAGGCACCCCACACACTTCCGAGAGAAGGAAGAGCCCTCCCCCCCCGCTAATGGCGCAAGGAGACCCATTTTCCTTCTACGCCCCCTCACATTCCGTGTCGCCACCTACCCCTGAAGAAAGGAGACCGCTCCCCCGCACGCGCTCGGCGCTGCTCTCCCTTTTCCCTTTCTCTCCCTGGGATTCCCCCGGCGCTGGCCAATCCCAAGCCCAGCCTTCGCGGCAGGCGGCCTATCATAAGGGAGCGTCCCTGCCGAGCGCCGCACAGCGCCCCGTCACGTGGCGCGGCACCCAACGCGACTCCGAAAGTTACTCGTCCGCAAATTACGGCGGGAAAAAAGCGGGACGCCGGCCGGGCGGCTGGCGACTGCTTGCGCGTTGCCTCTCCCCCAAGAGCAAGCCAATCGGAAAAGGTGGGACAGACCCCGCCTTCTTTCACTGAAGTGGATGGGGGAGGGGAGAGGGCTTGAAGAAAAGGCGGTGACGGTCCAGCGAGATGCTGAGGTGGGCGGAAAAGAGAAACAAGGGTTGCAAACCAAACCGACGGGCATTGCTTCAAATAGTTATTATTAATTATTAAACTTGTATGCCGCCGGACTCTCAATGACTCTGGGTGACTCACAACAATCAAACAAAGAAATGACAGTCAAATCAATAAAAGATAAAATGATGGCAAGCATGATGAAGCAAAGGGTCTCACTCCCCCTGGCCAAAGGCCTGAGTAAAGAGCCAGGTCTTCACAGCTCTTCTAATCAACAGCACAGCAGGGGCCATCTGGATCTGGGGTGGAGGGAACCTCATTCCAGAGAGTAGGTGCAGCTACAGAGAAGGCACTTTTCCAGGGTCCAATAGATGACATTGTTTCACTGAAGGAACCCTGAATGTGCCAACCCTGCAGGATAGAATTGGCAAGGCAGATGCTATGGGAGACAGGTGGTCCTTCTGGTAACCAGGCCCTATTCAGTGCAGGGCCTTATAGGTAACAACCAGCACCTTGAATCGCACCCAGAAGCAAACTGGCAACCAGTGCAGCTCATGAAGCAGAGGTGTTTCATGGGCATACCAAGACATGCCCATCACTGCCCATACCATTGCATTCTGGACTAATTGAAGTTTCTGGGGGGTCTTCAAGGGCAGGTCCACACAGAGTGCATTGCAATAGTCAGGTTTTGTACTTTTCAGAGTTTTTGTGCACCATACCTGTCCTGAAAATATTTTAATATGTGATTACTATATTTATATTCTAGCTTTCTTATAATTTTTTATACCTGCAACCCTGTGAAATTGAGTCAGTTGCTTGCCAGTCTGTGTATATCCTGCTTCGCAGAGATTTTATAGAATAAGAGAGATGGCTCTCAAGATTGCTATCCTTCAGCCAGACTGACTTCACAGAGTTGTGAGAATTAAAAAGGGAGAATTGTATGCATAGGATGCAAAATACCATTCATTCATGATCCTTAGTAGGTGACCTTGGAGTATTACTTCGCTGCCATCTGGTGGTTGTCTGGACTTTTGCAGCCCAGAAAGAGTAAACAGTTAAATGGCAGCAAAGAGAGGATCCTAAATGAGTCTGCCTGACTTGTTAGGGCTGGCTTGGGGTGCCTCCCCTCATAAAGTGATGGGGACCTTTCCAGAAAAGAAGCCAGTTGTGGCTCAATCTCTATGGAACAAGCTGCCAGTGGAAATACTTTTGCCCTTACACTCCTGGCTTTTAAGAAGCTTCCTTTTTAAAATACAGATAGTCCTCATTTAGCAACCGCAGTTGATTCCAGTGAAATAGTCACTAAGCAAACCACGTGACTGAGAGAGAGAAAGATGCTGTGAAGATTGCTGGTTGCTGCCATCTCATTTAGATAAACTTACCTTGTGCAGCAACACCAGCTTTACTGTCACTGGTGTGCCTGGTTGTCAGGCACAGAAATTTGGGTATAATTGCATGCATTGGTCGGAAAATGATTTTTTACTACCATTTAATACGGTCATATTCCAAATGGTCATTTACTGAGGCAGTTGCTAAACAAAGATTACCTGTAGATCTTTGATGCTTTAGAAGTCTAATGGGGAGAAGGAGAGCCACAGTCATGAGACTAGAAAGATGTAGAAATTATGTTAAGTAAATATTCAGTACCAGTAGTCCATGCTTTTCTAGTGCACATTTCAGCAATTACTTGTACATGGGCAAAAATGCCAGTATTTTGCTGAAGGTGCTTAAATTGGTTGTCTAAGTAAGCTTGTACTTCGAAGCAACAGTACATTCTTGTATTGGAACAAGTCTCACTGAAGTCAATGATATTTGATTCTGAATAAGCATCAAGGAAGACTTCATTTTTTTACATATGGTTGTGCTGTAAACTGCTAAGTATTTTTAAATGCTAAAACAAATGAAACCATTATGGTCAATTTATGAAAGACAAAATATGCAATGATCTGTTTACTTTTTCTTTCCTCCCAAGTCCCTATACAGAATCCTGATACGGTTCAGGATTACCATGGTACCACAGAAAGGATTACCCCCATCCACCCCCACACACATGCCCATACAAACACACATATTACCATCACCCCTTGCAAGTTTAAAAATTTTTTAAATTCAGTGGGGAGGCCAATTTTCAGGAAGTGAACAGCAGGAGGAGGTATAATCCTCACCTCTTTGTACAAGCCAGACCCAATTGGGGTTGATATCCTATACATTTAGTAAGCAAAAAAAAGTAGGACAATGACCCACTTCATATGAGGTACAACGAAATTGATTTGTCTAAGCTAAATTGAAACAAGCTATTTGTAGGGTGGCGGGACTGCGGTAAAGCCAAATGCAATTTTAGGCTGTGTGGAAAAGCAGGCTGCTTAACAAAATTGCAGGCACCTGTGCTGCCTGCTTTCCCTCCCATTTGAGCCTTCTCCCCAGCATGGCAAAGTTGCCAATAAAGCTGCAACCTTGAAACAGGTGTGGGAGGAGATGTGTCTTTTGGGGCTCTGCAGCCACCAGCAAAAGAGTATAGCAGCCAAACAAAAGGTTCTTCCTTCAGAAAGAGTGGACAGTCCAAAAGAGAGGGAAAGAAGTCTAGCAGCACAGCAGGACAAAGCACAACATACAAAAGGTGCAAGAGCTCTACATGCTGGCCATTAGCAGAAAAAAAATCTCAGGGACTGGAGACTTAAGACAGAACAAGCTTCAGAAAAAAATGTTGATGCTTATTAGTAATAGCATGGCTGGGAGTTGAAGTCCACATGTCTTAAAGTTGCCAAGGTTGAGATACGCTGGTATAGAGTCTAGTATAAACATTGTCATTGTAATTGAAGAGTAATAGTATGTTGTAATGGTAATTATCATAGTAATAGTAAGAGATGGCAATAGAATAAAATTTAGGAGGCACTTCTATATCACTTTTATATGTTTGTTTTACAACATAAAACATCTCCCCAACCCTTATAGAGAGATACAAAGAAGTCATCTGTCCAGGGTCCAGTGCCTTTGTGTCTCTTTTGAGTCTGGGTCAGTCTAATTGGGTACAGTTAAAAAAAAACAAACTCATGACAGGCCACATCAATGAAAGTGTAGTTTATGCATCATGGGAAGTGAAACTGTAGTTCCGTTATTTTTATGCCCATTTCAAGTACTGTGCCCATTTCTGGGCACTACATTTCAAAGTACTGTACAAGGTGAAAAGAATTAAAAGAAAGTACAAATTACAATTCTACTTTGAAGTAGAAACTACAAAGAGAGATTGAAGGAACTGGGGATATGTTTGTCCTTAAAAAGGACAAAGGGAAATCTAAAACCTGAAGGAATATCACTGAGGAGCATGCCATGATCTGTTACCTGTATTCCAAGACTACAGTTACAGGAAGGAAGATACTGGTTAAAAATTAAGAACTAAAAGTAAGAACAGGTCAATGGTGGGACTATTTATTGAGAGATACTGGACTCCTGGATTTATTGAAGCAGAAGCTGAAAACCAGCTGCCAGGCTGCTTTCATTTGGATTTTTTCACCAATTGGGATTTTTTGGGGAGCTGGATTTGAGGGGCTAAATGATCTTTTCCAACTCTTTAATTCTACGTATTGCATGCAATTATTTGAAAGAAAATAGAGGAAATCAGTGAAAACCGGTGTGCTATGATGGTCAGAGTACCCCACCAAGTTCCTGGTTTTCGTTCTTATTTAGTCTAATTACCTTAAGATCAGAATAAATGCTTAATATAATCCACTATCTATCTAGCCATTTAAGTTAAGATGTCTTGTATGTCATTTATCCCAAGCTTAATACTCATGACACTGTCAGATTTTAAAAAATTCTGAGTATGGCACATTTCTTTGGGGTTTGTTGATTGATTGATTGATTGGTGGATTGCAGCATAATTTCCAAACTCAGTGCAGTTGTCTTTGAAGCCGGCATGGATAGAATTCTGCAGTTTAGTGTCACTCATTATAACAACATAAAGAAGTCTGTTGTCATCTGCCCTCTTCCCCCTAATAGCAAGTACACAGAGATGTAATGCCTCTGAACTTGGATACTCCGTGCAGCCAAGATACCTAAGTTCATCTCCCTTGAACTTGTCTAATCCTAAAGCTATCCTATCTTGAGGCCATCACATCACAGTGAATTCCTTCTAATTGATGTATGAGATAATTGACTGGATTTTTATAATTTATTTGTGAAAGAAGAAGATCCAACTACAAATCACTTATTTGGAAAAAAGGAAAATAAAATCCCTTGTTTTTCCTACTCTCAGTAGCTTGTGTGTTTCCTACATGCAGCATGGCTATTTTTGTATTGTAGACTTTCACTTCTCTAAAGAGCCTAATCTTTTTTGCTGTTGAAGAATGGCTCTGACCTCCAGCACAGCTTATGCCTTTATGACAATCTGTAGTCATCAATGAAGTATGGCGGCTTTTGGGTCATCACTAATGTCAGCTGCAGATCTCAAAGGGCTGCGTAGAATGGATGGTGGAGCTGCAACTGCTTACACTGAGTTACATTATCTCCCTACAGAGGAGAAGGAAAAAAAAAATTCAGTGTTTTTCATAAATCCAGATATTTCGATTGCCTAAAAAGATATGGCTCAGGCTAAAATATTTTTCTTTCTTTTCCCCCTCTATTTCTTTAAAAAGTCCAATATATAACAATATTTCTAGTTGACAAGGTTATATGTAGACTATGGGTAGAAAACCTGTTGCCTGT